TTTTGTCATTTCTATTCTGAGCTTCTGGATATTGCCTAGCAAAAACCCTCCACATTACTATAAGAAAATGAAACTACGATTTTAACCATCAGGAACAAAAGTAAAACCTTTTAAAATAATAAAAACAAGACTGAAATAGCAAATTCATTCTGAAAACTAGCTGACACCAAGGCAAACTACATTTGAAATTAAAACAAAAAAAGCCCTTTTTAACTATTTAGCTGATATTATGTTATGTCCACTAACTAAAGTGAGCTAAACATGCTGTATGAGAAACATGCTTTGGTACTCTTCCACTGGTATTTATATACACATTACTCTCAATTCAATCTGTAAATGGGAAATGGCCAAAATAAACTACCCTATTACCTCCAAAATGTGCAGTAATGCAGTATAGTGTGTAGTTTAAATTAGCCATCCCTTATGTAAAGGTTATTTTGACTGCTCCCTGTATCGCCATAGCTGATAGATCAACATGCTGCAGACATCCCTAACACACAGCTCACATTTACAACAGGAAAGTGTTCATCAACATTATTCTGACAAACCAAGGAGAGAATAGTGAAAGTAAGTCATGCAACTGAATGCATAAACATGGTTCCTCCCATTTTTAATTGTAGACTTTTTGTAGCACGTAATAAGTTTCCAAGTGTTAAAAGTCATTTTATCAGTCCCTTAATAAATTAGCAAATGGGGCAAACTTTTCTCAATGCAAAAATTACTGCCAAAATGACACACCGTTACAGCGAGGAGGCCTCTATAATCCATGTTAACTGTCATAACATGGATTATAGATGTAGACATAAACGACCACTTACTGGACAGGCAGCTGAGCACCTTCTCTTAAAGACCCATTTAGCTCCACTACCAAAACAGCAGATTCAGAAAAACTTTAATTTCTCTATTTGTAACTTCCTGCAATGTCACATTTGTGCCTAGCAGGGAATGATCTGATAACAGTTTGTTTCAACTCCGTACTCTCACAACATTTAACCACACAAGGCATTTACTGCACTGCGCTTCCCAATGCATTTCACTCTGATTGCATTGTGCCACTGATACTTGCTATTCTGCTACTGAGTTTTGGAAGGCATTTTATAATAACTGTTAGTTGTTAAACAGCTTAGTCAATGCAGTACCGCCATAAAAATGGATACGATCATAGCACACATTGAATGAAAAAGTCAGTCTGTATGCCACGGCCTGTCAGAAGAGAGCAAAACAAGGGGAAGAAAATCAAAAGGTTTAACAGAAGCGACAAGTTTTTTCCGACCAAAACCGCAGTGAAAAGCAAATCAGTAAATACATCCACCTCTGCAGCACTTCAGCCCAGTCATTTTACACCGGTGCACACAGGCTGAACATTATTAGATCATTACAAGTGTGTGAGGGAATTTCCCACGTCAATTGCTAAATCGTTTAAAGTATACCAGATACCAGAATGAAATTCAACCTATAATTACGAATCCCTTTTGGAGCAAAATAGATGATAAAACATGGTTTGTACAAGGGCACGGTTATCATGGTTATCACACAGCTCCTTGACAACTTATTGTTTGTGCATTGTTTTATTCTGGCATATATTTTGTTTTTATACATTATTGGCAGAGATATGAAAGCACTCTTGAACCATTCGGGAAGCAAGACAAAGTTTCAATAGCATGCTGTTGATTACTACTAAAGCCCTCATTAAACTGCAGCCAGCATGAAACAATTGGCATGCATTTTCTATCAGAACACGTCCATAATGCTGCTATTTGGCTACTACGTTTATATGGCCCATTTCCCCCTGAATGTGTTACATGCAGTTTTTTTTACTTCCCCAGCTCTTTTCATATCAAGTGGTTGTTTTTCGTTGTGTTCCAAACACACTTTCCCACAGGGAACTTGCAAAGTGCCCTCTGGTGGACAAATTATGCATCGTCAACACTCACAACATGGTTGAAAAGTGTTTCACCCATGTCTTCTTTAATTTTTCAACTTTTATTTACCAGTTGTTGTAAATGTAACATCAAGACATCAGCCCAAACTATCGGCCAGCTAAGAAATCGGTTAGGTTCTTCTTTCCTTAAATTCTTCTCTCTTTCCTTTCTGGCCTTTGTTCCATGAAGCAAGTACAAACATTCTCAGGGTATCTTTCCATTACTTCACTTACCATCACTTATGGTAGCAATGCTAGCACCCATACATTTTTTGACAATCAGGCATTTCCGATTCATTTTATCCTTCGAAGTAGTGCAAGTTCTCTTAATACAAGAATGCTACAGAACCCAATGTCAAAATATTTGCATGGCTTACAGTCCTACATTGGATTTGTATGTTTTTCTGGTTACATTTAATAAACAGAACTTGTCCTGTTAGTAATTACTTGCAGCTAAATATCATCTCTTGGTTTGTAACCTAGTTCTAAATTGCAATGCTTGGCAGATTGTATATTGAAATGAACCGAGTGTGCCCTAATATAATTAATGACCTAATATAGTAATAATGTTTACCCTATTTGAAGTGAGAAGAAGTTGCCAAAAAATGCTGTGTAAGTTAAGAGTGTTAATGGTCTGTCATTAAGACACACAAGAATCCAATGGATCACAACTGTTATTCCATTAAATTAATATTTAGATGTGCATAAGACAGTTCTATTTTCTTTCTTTTTTTACAGCTGCAGTCCTGGTGGTGTTTAATGGTATGAAACTAAGAAATAACTGTTAAAAAAAAGAAAA